CTTATATACCTTCAAGTTTTACTTTTATTACTTCTATTATATTTATGGTCCTGTTACTTATCTGTTTCACTCTCATAACTGCAAACACCAACTTGTCTCCATGACGGCTGCAATCTTTGTTTTTCCCCTCACCATATCATGTAAAGAGAACGTTACATTCAATATTTTTAAACATGTTAGGATTTCTATACCGCATATAACGACAATACTGTGTGACACAAGCCAACGGCAATTTTCACTTGTATTCTTATTATTATTAACCTAGCTGTTATCATTATTATTGCTATTTCCATTTTACATGCTGTTTTTTGACACTACCTCTATTGTAAATGTGGAAAATTTTCTGTGTGATTAATTTTATGTATAATTTGAGGAAATTAGACGCAATATTGTGATTAATGCTGAAAATTCCATTCCGTATCGCAAGTAATGTTTTTTTGGAATAAAGTAAATCATTATTATTATTAAAAAAAGTAAGTGAAAGGGAAGAAATATAACACATTCCTTCACTCCGTAGATAGGAGGAAGCAATAGGCACTTCAATACTAATATGGGAACAAGACATTCTGTATCGAATTACATTCTTCTAAGTGTGAAAAGTAGAGTAGGATGTTCAGGGTGGGAAAATTCTCTGGATTATGTGGTGAGCACTAGGATGTAATCCACCTCAAATGTTTACTTCCGTCATCTGAGAAACCATATTTACACAGAAAATCAACTTCTACACATTTCAATTGGACACTGAACAGAGCACCAGGAAGTGAGTCCGTAATGCAAAGGTTAGCCAGGAATGGAGAGTACCAATATATCACAACTCTCCTCTAAGGAAAATTCAGAAATTATAGCAGTAGACTTCAGGTCAGCATTGTCTTTGTGTGGTGGTTTTACTCCCGATATTAGAAACATCATTTTTATCAATATATCGTGCATCTCAACATATTCACACATTTAAGTTCCATCATGGATAATTTAGAAACAAGTTGCTTGAACTTAAAAATGACCTCTGTAAATCAATCCGGCAGGTATCTGAATGGGTGCGTTACTTCGACTGAATGGTAGTTTTTGATAACATTTGTTTTTACTCAAAATTATCCTTGAAAATGATTTCACTATTGGTGTAAACATCAACATCTACGTCGTTTCACTCAGAAATTCTGTGTAACTTAGTTCAGAATATTCGTCGTACTGTGTTAAAAACATAAATCTTAGCAGGGAATCAAGAAGTATATACTCAGTAGGTAGCAGGAGTCATACATAGACAGAATTATAGTTTAAGGTAGAATTCTATTGTTTTGCTTCAGTCAGCTAATTAAAATCTCACAGGTCACTTCATTTAGAAGATAATCCTAAGAGTTGGTCACCAAGTAGGCAAACTGGTAGTCTACTCAGGTATTGTTCTCTCTCAGAAGTTGAATTCACACCGTGTTGTATTGGCTGTTCTTAAGTGGGAAGAGGAGGAGAAGAGAAATGAAGCCAGTAATTCTGAACATCGTAATCAGACCTTCCAACGACATGATATGAAGTTTCTCACCTCGTATTAAATCGGTCTTGTCGTGGATTCTTAACTGCTTGTCATATAGGGAGTTCAACTTAACTCTTCACAGTATATGTGGGCCATATCTTGGCAATGGCCGGATACCTGTATACTGTTTTCCAAGTTGAACATAACCCTTATTCGAATCACGAGTAACAATACGACTGATGATGCTATCCTTCTTGAATTCCTACCTTTTGATGTATAATTTCTTATCTTGTATCTGAACACACTTCCTACTCGTCTCAGTGTCTTCTGCATTCATCGAGTCGGGGAAATCAATCACGTAATGAAGGGAAGGGCAACTGACAGTCGATCTACGTACGGCAGTCATAAAAGATATAGTAATGTGTAAATTATTCATGTGAGCCAACCAGTTCGCTGACATTATTTTCTTCGTATGAACCCACAAGAGCCTTTTATTTAAATTGTAACGTCGATAATTAACCTTTTCCAACAAACTTGTTGCATTAACAAGTTTCAACGCCTTAATATCTCATTTGGATTAGTTTCTGACATGGCATTTACCTACCGAAGTATCTTTTTAAAGTATCTGCCTGTGTCACCTGAAATATTGTACACTGTGTTCGTACATACTTGTATCTTGATGTTTTTTCCCATCCTAGAAATGTAAACAACATCACAAGGCGTAGTATATCTTTTAGAAGCAAAATCTAGTTAAATCGTTAACCTGCATAACTTCTGATAATCTTTTTGAGGTTACTGTCGTTTTGTAAGATGTCTTCATGACGATTACTCACATTCTCATTCATTTTCAAAGTGTTTTATCGATTTTCCACACAGCTGGAATGTCACTGTAGTCCTGCCAAATGTAAGATGATGCTACAGGACTGGATTACACTGACTCCTAGCTTAGAAATAGGGAGTGAAGTGGTCGGTGAAGCGTGCTGTTCACTTCACTTATTTGGAGAGTTGCATCAGCCAGATCCAGTTTGTCTGTCTCCCTGTTTTCGACATAGAACTTTGCACCGATGTGTGGCAGTTCAACTCGTCACACTCCCTCCTTGTAGTACACAAAGCAAGAGAAGAAGGTAGAGGAAATGCATAATAGAGACAGTAAACAGACCAGATCCAGAGGGTTAATCGCTGGTGAAATCTCAGCATGGATACAGAAGGCTAGTTTCGCATATGCCATTTTATGCCCTCTGGCGTAGCAGACGTGATATCTGGCTGGCAATCGACCAAAGGGCGGTTGTGCTGCTCAGCAGTCCGCTCCGTCCTCCTCCATTACTGTGATGTCTGGCCATTGAGAGTAGAAGACATGAAATGGCTAGCTAGCTGTTTTTGATCATAGGTTTCTGCATTCTATCTCCCGTGTTAGGTGGTATGATAGAGTGAGCAATATTAAGGTTAGGCATCCGTCGTGTGCTAGGTAGGGAGGGAGGGGAAGTCAATAGACGAGTCTGTGAAATTACATCGACTGAGATGGTTAGCATATGTGTTACGTATGCCTAGTAGTCGCCTCCCTCGACGGGCAATGTTAGCTGACATATTGTCAGGCTGGAAATGAGCTAGCACACGGTGGTCATACCAAAACATGACTTCATCAGTCAATGAAATCCACAACAGTTAGTTCAAGCCAGCCATGTAGGAAGATGTAGAGTTCCTGACTGGTTGGGTCCTCATTACGGTAATAATCAATGGATGGAGACAATTGGTGAAATGGCTCCAACTCATCGTTCTTGCAGATGCATCCACTCTTTGTGCTTTATAATACTCAATAGAACTATGTTGTTCTCCGATATTACTATTCTTCTTGCCTTATATCTCTATTTACTGTCTCTATTTTGCATTTCTTTTTTTACTTTCTCTTGCTTTGTGTGGTACAAGGAGTGAGTGTGGCGACTCGAACTGCTGCAAATCGGTGTAAATTTCTATGCTGAAACCAGTCAGTCAGTCAATCTATGTGATGAATTGCTATGTTATGCACGAAAATATCTTTAGATTACTTTTATCCTCAATCCTTCAATGTCTATTTGTTATAAAGCCAGGAAATAAGTAACAAAACCCGAATATTGCATTGGGTCGTTACATACATCATTATACTTGATTAAAAAGCCAATATACAAACAGATTTTTATATATACACTAAGTGTCTGAGTATAAACTCTGAAAGAATCGGGATATTTATGAGTGCCTTCATCTAGATTAAAGCATAGTAATGACTATGGACTGACGACATAAGGCATATTAGCTCAGCTGGTCAAACATGGGACTTGGGCAAGCTAGAGTTTGGATACAAATATTCGTTATAATTAAAGAATATTGACTCATGAGGCCTTGGGTTGACAATCGGAGTAAAGCTGGTTAGTTTCGGGCTACAAAGGGATATCCATGAAGAGAAATTCTCCAGAAGTGTGAGAATACTAAATAGGTTGCCTACTTTCAAATATCTCAAAATCACTTCCAATTCCAAGTAATCAGTGTCGATATTTACAGTCAGATGAGCGTTTTTTTAGGATTTAGGAACTAGAGTTACGAGAAAAGATTTAGAGTTAAGGAAAGGAGTAACGATTAGGATTTGATTTTAGGCATTTTTTTGGACTGAATTTAAATACATGTTTTCTGAACAGCATTTTTCATCAATAATAGTTTTTAGCAGTATTCTCTTGGATTTAAGGTGAAACATGCTACTTAGTCAACACCTAACCATTTCATCTTGCTCGCTGGAGTCTTTTTTTAGCTAGATTCACGATAGTCCAGAAAGTTTTATCTCCTCCTCTTCACCACGCGATCTCTTGCTGACGAACTCTAAGCACGGATACACACGGCTCGTTAAACGTATGCCAAATTACTCCATCTCCAATGTAGACGTGATTTATGGCTGTCGACTTATGTCTATCTGTCTATTTTCGACATAGAACTTTGCACATATGTGCGGAAGTTCAATTCGCCACACTCCCTCCTTGTAGCACACAAAGCAAGAGAAGAAAGTGGAAGAAATGTGCATAATAGAGACAGTAAACAGAAGTGTGAGACAAAGCAAGAGTAATAACGAAGAACAAAACAGTTTCAGTGGAATTCACAAGGAGTGGATGCATTGGCACCAGTCATTGAGAACGATTTCGAGCCATGTCACCAATTGTTTTCAACCATTGGTGTTCACCGTCCCGAGGACCCCAACCAGTCAGGAACTCTACACCTTCCTACGTGGCTTAGACTAACTGTTGTAGATTTCATTGACTGGTGCCATGTTTTGGTTTTACCACCGCTAGCTCTTTTCTAACCTGTCCCTATGCCAGCTGACATTGCCCATCGAGGAAGGCAATGACAAGGAGTTAAACGGTTTACATTATGGTAATATTCTGTATTTTTATCTAATTACAGGTATACTGATGAATATGTTCGCTTGAATTAACGTCACACGGGAAAACTTATTTGGTTACTATTTTCTTCTCTTCAATTGAAAGATTGATTCCATTTCATTCCTTGGATAAAAAAGGAAATGGAGGTTTGTCATTGTTCGGCTTTCTTTATTCACCTCACCTCATAATTACCTTTGGATAGGATCCAAATGCTGACACGGAATGGAATGATATTTTACGTCAAAAAGGAATTTTACCGCCAAAAAAGGTGGAACCAGAAGAAGAACTTCCTCCACCTCCTGATCCTAGTAAGTATTGTTTGTTTGTCAAAAGTTTGGTTTGTAAGGATTAAATTTGTTTTTTTGTTACGAGTTTGACCACAGATTGATATCAGTTAGAGAACCATTGAAAACTAGTACAGGAGTACTGAACAGCTACCTGTTTCATCCTAGTGTGCGAATCACCGAAAGTACGCATCCACTGCACTGTGGTTCGAACCCAGGACCTACCGGTTACAAGGCAACCGTGTATACCTGTCCAAACTAAGTTCACTTTTAACGGTTTGAAAAAATTTGGGCATTGGGTATATGATATTCACTATCATAAGGGTTTTTGTATTTCCCAATGAATGAAAAACAAAACGATATTCTTTTTACTGAAGTTTGGCTATTTAATGCTAATAACTTTATCAAAGTATTATTAAACTGGAATTTACAAAATCTCAACATATATATACAACAAAGAGTTAAGAGGCGAGAAAATAGACAAGTTAGGTCAAGTTGAAAGGACATACTGAAAGTCAAAATAGTCACTAAACCAAATAACAAAGGTAATAGTGCGCCTGTTATGGTATCAAAACAAAGTCTACTAATTTGATCATCGTTCGTCAGTCTGGGGTCATTCATCGTTGTCACGTGGATCAATTGGTAAAGATAATAAATTCAAGTGTAGATTGTTGGATTTGATCAGTGTGTAAAATTATAAAAGCAGTGTGTGTTTCCATATAAAAGACCAAATCCCGAAAGATTCTCTATCTAATTGTGTCTATAAAATAAAATGCTTGGAATGTGATGCGATATATATCGGATAAACATCTCGAGAAATCAAAATCAGAAGTAATGAACACCGTAGAGCATCTGTTCGACCACCGAGAAATCCGGTTGAACTAGAAAAACTTGAGAGATCATCAACCATAGGTCTAGACGCTATAGAATCAGGCCACAAAATTCATTTTGACAATCTTGAAATCATCGTCCAGAAAGATTTCAGAAATCACTGAGAACGTCTCACTTCATCATAAGTACTCCATTTAACTAAATGGAATCCGAATTATCTGAATAGGAATGATGGACTAAAACAGAATTTAACATGGTTACAACAACTCCCTCCCCCATGAAGTGACAAAATCAACACGAATGTGATAAGCAAGTTCACTAAGTAAACACACATACCACTTATAATTTTACACACTGATCAAATCCAGAAATCTACACATGGTGGCCTTGTTGTCTTTACCAATTGACCAACTTGACAACGATGAATGACCCCAGACTGACGAACGATGATCAAATTAGTAGACTTTGTTTTGATACCATAACAGACGCACTATTACCTTTGTTATTTGGTTTAGTGACTATTTTGACTTTCAGTATGTCCTTTCAACTTGACCTAACTTGTCTATTTTCTCGCCTCTTAACTCTTTGTTGTATATATATGTTGAGATTTTGTAAATTCCAGTTTAATAATACTTTGATAAAGTTATTAGCATTAAATAGCCAAACTTCAGTAAAAAGAATATCGTTTTGTTTTTCATTCATTGGGAAAATACAAAAACCTTTATTATAAATGAACCATGTATACCATTTAGCCACTGGGACCCGACTCAATGGCCAACGCATGAATTCTAACTTATGCCAATTCGTGATTTATTAGCCCGACTGGCATTGACCAATGTCATCGGAGGCGGGTATTTATCCTCACTCCTGATCGAGTGAACCCCTCTGGTCAAAACTTCTCACTAGGAAAAGACTTTAGTACTTCATATCTAGACGTCCTTATGACCAGAAAAGAGGATGTCACAATAAGAAGAAATGTATATAGAAAACCTATATCAACTGACTGTCAGTATACTCATTTTTCAGCTTCGTACCCCTTAAAGCACTTTGATAAAGTGCTTGGTTCACAGAGCAAAAGTAATCTGCTCGGATGAATGTCTTGATGAGGAACGTAATAATCCTAAACGGTTGCTGAGTGAAAACGGTTATCCAGAAAAGTTTATTGATAAGAATATGATTCAAAAACCAAGCAGCCCAAGGTACCAACAGTTCCTAAAAAGGCCCTCTTCTTACCAGTTCAGTTCCTTGGGGATAAAATCAGCGAGATACTAACACAACGCCTGAGAAATGCGGTAAAAACAGAATTCCCTGCTGCTGAATTACACTGTGACTTCAAAACCACTCCTCTTTAGCGTTCGGGAGTAAAAGACAAACTGCCTAATTTCGCCTCTTCCATGTGCATCCACCAATTTAACTGCTCTTGTGGGGCCAGTTAGTTGCATAGGCCGTACAACTAGGTGTGTTTCTCGTCAGATTTCTGAACAGCAACCTGTGTGGTTGGTCAAGTAAAGGACAATCCATTCACATATCTCTATTCTATCTCATCTTATGGACACAGAACACAAGAGTGATGATGTTAATGAGACAGCTTTCAAAGTCATCTATCGCATACCAACAAATCTTTACTTCGCCTTAAGAGTTCGTCTATCACATATTACTGAGGCTGGCTGTTGGGATGCACATTAAGAAGCCCAACTTATGTATGTATTCAAAAAAAGATATTGGATCAGACATTGTCCTTACCTTTACCATCAAAGTTTTAACTATCCTCAATTTTTTGTAGAAATTTCCTTAATTTTGGTTGATATTGTATTTGCCACTATATTATTATTATAATTTATGCATCCTTAATGAACTGTAATTCCATTGTGATCTTACTTAACAAATCGATATTAATTTTATAATTAATATTAATAATTTAATATCAATTAATTTGGTTTTGTAGGGATTTTGTTTGATTGTATGGGGGATTTCATCATGAGCTGACATCAGTTAGAGAACCACTGGAAAACTAGCTGGGAGTACTGGATAGCTGTTTCGTCCTAGTTTGTGATTCTGCTTCAGCAGTACATACCCACCGGGGTTCGAACCCAAGACCTTTTGGTTGCAAGGCGAGCCACTGGGACCCGATCCAATGAATTCTAACTTCTGCCAATTCACTACATGGCCCGACCATTTCACAATGTCTTCTTCGACGAGTTACTGCCTCATCTTCAACCTGCTGTACCCTACTGTTCACGGCTTTCCACTAGGACCCACTAGAAATGATGTCAGCTCATGATGAAATCCTCCATGCAATCAAACAAAATTACTATAAAACCAATACTTGAAAATTAATCTGATGCTCACTAGTGACCGGCGCTATTCATGCAGTTAACTCGGGGTTCTAGTGGGAAGCCGTGAACAGTAGGATACAGCGGGTTGAAGATGAGGCAGTAACTCATCGAAGAAGGTATTGTGAAATTGTCACGCTATGTTGTGAAGAAGTTGGAATTCATGGGCTGGTCATTGGATCGGGTCCCATTGGCTCAGTGGTCTACGAGCTAGCTCGCCTTGTAACCAGAAGGTCCTGGTTCGAACCCCGGTGGATGTGTACTGATGAAGAGTCCCCAACTAGGACGAAACAGCTCTCCAGTACTGTCAGCTGGTTTTCCAGCTCATGTTTATCATGTTTATCAGCTCATAATAGAATCCTCCATGAAATCGGTATTATTTAAAAAACACTAATATTGTTAGACTATTATTCTGGAACATTCTATATATATAACTGTAGAGCCAGAAGAGGAAATTATTAAAAAGGATATTCTTCGCTCAATTATTCTGTGTTTTATAGATGTCTGAATGAATATTTTGACTATATTGAATGTGAATAGTCAAACGAACTTGGTCTCATAGTCTGATCATTGTGTGTTCGACCCTTAGTGGCATAATTCTGAAGAATCCCAAACTAGAGTGATACACCCATCTCATACTTTCTGGTTTCTGATACTTATCTAACTGATAGAAGTTCTTGGTCTAACTAAAAAAATCTATCGATTAGCAGGCAAATCAACACTTGTAGACGGTGAAACCCAGCAGTAACACGCTATTACTTGTTTTTTTTACCTTTTGATTTAGAAACCATTCTAGACAATTTAAAATCAAATGAATTAGATGAGAAATTCGATTTATTAGAGGATGGTGAAGTTGATGAGGAAGAGGCACGTTTCTTAGAGGAATATCGACGCAAGCGGATAGCTATGCTAAAGGAGGAAGCATGCAAACCCCGTTTTGGTTGTGTACGCGAAGTGACCAAAGCTGATTGGACAACGGAGGTGACAAATGCTGGTGATGATATATTTGTCATTGTTCATATTAGTGAAAAAGGGTAAGTAAAGGAAGCTAAGCAGTCTGTATAATTTCATATTCTACAATGAGGGGGGGTGAGGGTGTACTTTAAAATGTATACGTGGAAATAGGAAGTGAAGTGGTAGAGCACGTTGACCGCTTCATTTATTTGTGGGAAAGTTGCATCAGTCAGCGCCAGTGGGTCGATCTCTGACGAAATCTCAGTACGGATAGGGAAGGCTAGTTTCGTATATGCGAGTTTACACCCTCTCTGACTTAGTAGACGTGATATTTGGCTGGCTACCGACCAAAGGGCGGGTGTAATGCTCAGCAGTCCGCTCCGTCCTCCTCCATTACTGTGATGTCTGGCCATTGAGAGTAGAAGACATGAAATGGCTAGCTAGCTGTCTCTGATCATAGGTGCCTGCGTTCTATCTCCCGTGTGGAGTGGTATAATAGGGTGAGCAATATTGAGCTTGGTCGTCGAGTGCTAGGTGAGGGTGGGAAATCAATAGACGAGGCTGTGCAGCTACATCGATTGAAATGGTTATGACATTTATTGCGCATGCATGTCTAGCCATCGCCTTCCTCAACGGGCAATGTTGACTGACATAGGGTCAGGTTGGAAAAGAGCTAGTGGTGTGATCAAACCAAAACATGGTTTCATCAGTCAATGAAATCCACAACAGTTAGTTTAAGCCAGTCTGGTTTGTGTCCCCGAGACGGTAAACACCAATGAATGCTTGAGACAATGGGTGATATGGTTCAAAATCGTTCTCACTAATGGCTGGCACAGATGCATCCACTCCTTGTGACTTATGCTACCCAATGAAACTATATTGGTCTTCATTATTATTATTATTCCTTTGTTTCATATCCCTGTCTACTGTCTCTCTTATACACATTTCTTCAACTTTCTTCTCTTGCTTTGTGTGCTACAAGAAAGGAGTGTGGCGACTCGAACTGCTGCACATCGGTGCAAAGTAGTTCTATGTCGAAAACAGACAGACAGGGTACGTGGATACTGTATGGTTGTAATTTGTAAGACAGTTGATCCAAAAGACTCTTTCCTGTGAGTTTTCCAGTAAGGTCTACTTAGTAGAAACCAAAATGAAACAGGTTACCTGTCCATTATATAACAAACAACTTCAAAGCAAATATATTCGAGTTAAAAAAAGTCGTAGCTGAAGGCATATGCTAGGTCCAACTATGATATTATGGGGTTATGCAAGTGTGGTTGTTATATTAAGGGTTTCTAACCCCCCACCCCATAAACGACAATTTGGCACGGCTAAGAGTGGATCAAATGGTGTATGAACCTGTTTCGATTACCGAAAATCATGGAAACTCTATTCCACACACTGCCTTTCGGATTGGACTTCAAATGAGAAAAACTCGGTGGGGGAAGGTTAGGGGAAAGAGTGACCCCTTGAGGAAATCATCCGCTTCGATCTAGGCCTCCGGGTACGCTGTCTATAATGTAAGAATAATTTCATCGAATGATGAAGCCAAGTTTTAGTTTAGTCTGACCACCATGGGCTAGATGTTTTCCAATACAACAAATCCTATGTCAGCTAATATAGTCCGTCAGTCGAGGAAGGCAAGGGTTGGGCTAGGGATGCATGCGTAACACACTTCCTAACCATCTGATTTGATGTAACTTCACAACCTCGTTGATTGATTTCGCCTCCCTCTTTATCTAGCACTCGACCGATGCTTAACCTCAATATTACTTACTCTCTATGCATTTATTCCCCTTGATGAATTTGAATAAAGCAAGAACAACAGTGGAGGTTAGTGCAGAATAATACGGCACCATCATTGCCTATTTCGTTGGCTTCTCATCAGCTGCCGCTTACAGCCTAAATAAATTATGAGGTTTACGTACAGAAACGTTTTAACATACTTGTAAACTTTTACGTGTTGTCAGTTGACAGGACGTTCCAAACTTAGTGAACACAGTGCTCAGAAAATTGCGTTTATATAGTTTTTATGCAGGCAGTTCAAGTTAAAACAAAATAAATGTATGCATATAATGGTAAAGGAGTTACATAATAAAGATGAGATGTGCGTTAGATGCACAGTGACTAATAAGTTAGGTAACAATGTGCTGAGTTCAACTTAAATCATAGAAACAAGAGACAAACAAAATTACAGATTATAAAAAAGAGAGGTGGGGTTAAAGACAAAGATTACGTAATCAGATGAGAGAATAAAGATATTCAATTACTAGGATAAGGAAAGACTAATAACTGTTTCTTTCTGAACACATAAATCTGGTTTGAAGCGTTTGATAGATATTGCTTCGGCAAACTTGAGGAGAATGCAGCTCCTTTGTCTATTGATAATTTTGAACGACTTTCCGACGTCCACCTCATGACCCGTGTCAAGGAGATGCCTATCGATGGGACTGTTTAAAGCATTTGCTCCCTTTACACATAAGCTTTTCGGCAGATGTTCAGAAAATCGTAGATATGCTCTTCTTTCTGTCCTTTCAATGTAACTGCTCCCGCAGATACATGTGAATATGTATATACAGTTGGAGTTAACATGAGAAGCATATCTATCGATTTTAATTGCACCAAAGAGCAAGTTGTTCGATAGACGGGGACGAGCTTAGCTGCAGGATAGACTATGGGTAGTGATGTACTCAGCCTTTTGTTGATCATCGCTGTAATGTTTTCACCTTTATAATCAAGTTGAAAGTAGACTGGCTTCTTTCCCACTGTGATTTGTTTTACATTTGTGACTTCAGATCTTCCATGCTTGGTGATGAACTTTTGAGGGTACCCATCGCTCTTCAATATCTTTTCAAGAAACTCAAATTCTTCCTGTAATTTCTCTATAGAGCATATTCTCCTCCTCTATAGTACAGAGTCTTGACTAGACCGCCAACGAAATAAATATGGTGCCATATTATTCTGCACAAACCACTGTTGTTCTTGCTTTATTCAAATTACTCACTCTATTATGCCACCCTCTAACTTGGAAGATAGAAGGATAGATGTTGCATCGTTCAGACTGTAAGTATTTAGTACTGATTAGATGGAAAAGGTCCTGTGATTTCGGTCTGACTTCTCCTAACACTTTTCCAATCTAACGTTATATCAGCTAACCAACATAGCTCGTCGAAGAAGGCGACGGATCCGCTTGTGTAACACATCACCTAGCCATCTGAATCGATGTGGCTTCACATAACCTCACCGTCTGACCTATCCACCTTATCTAGCATTCTACAACTCCTAAACTCAATATTTCTCATCATTATGTGGTGAGAGCTGTCTGCTAGCCTAAATTGGTAGACAGCAATTTACGTCAATTTAATTGCTGGATGGTGACTAGCAGTGGAATCCAGGACAACGCGCATTTCGTCCTATTCGGGACCCGTCATCCGGATGTACCTGCATTTCTCAGTGAGTGATGATGTTCCCACCGAGGATCGAACCTAGTGCCCATAGTTTCAAACGCCAAAGCGTTATTCACTAGACCACTTGGGCCACGAGACCCACTTATTGTGCAACGGGTCATATTAATTTAAGTGAATTTTTGATTTTTCCCGTCGATTGATTGGACCGAAGTGCTCGGTCTCAGGTTGGCGTTTGAAACTATGGGCATTGGGTTCGAGCCTCGGTGGGAACATCATCACTCACTGAGAAATGCATGTAAATCCAGCTGACGAGTCCAAAATAGGACGAAATGCGCGTTGTCCTGGATTCCACTGCTAGTCACCATCCATCAATTAAATACTAATTAAATGCCCAGACATCATTGAAGCATCTGCACAAGAAGCCGACATGTCAACCTGAGACCGAGCACTTCGGTCCAATCAATCGACGGGAAAATTCAATTAAATTCACGTCAATGTTTACTTTCCAAATCTTGGTGATGAGATAGAAACAGGAACAAACACTAACTCAACAACCCAATCACAGCAGACTTTCCGTGGGCGGGATACGATTCGCAGGTATATTGTCTTGACCTTCAAAGAAACGGCCAGAAAGAGATGGCAGATTAACTTCCAGCGAGAAAACAACCAACCAGAAGACGCCATTTCTTTGCTAGTAATAACAAATAATAATATACATAAAAATATATCAATATCTCTTGATTTAATAACACAATATTCAGCGAAGAGACTCTTTTCAACAACGAATTTATTATCAAGCTGTACAATCGTATATATATATATATGGTTTTATAAAGAAATTATATCCAGTGAGGGAATTAGGTCAAAGGTGTGAATGCATAAAATAATAATAGAAGTATGAAATGCAATTAAAACTAAAATGTTTGTGATTATAATCATAGTTAAATGCCAAGTAGCAAAATAATTAATGTCATATATAGAATAATACATAAGGCGTATAGATTTGGGAAACGGGTACATAAGTATAAGATTAGTAGACGAATATAAAATGTTACTTAACATGGTGTGAAATCTGATAAGATAGAATTTAATATTGTAAAGATAAAAAGTATACAAATTAATAATTATGGGTTTAAAATGACGAGTGGGCCAAGTGGAAAAGATTCATAGTGAGAACAGTAGTAATAATAATGTTAATAATAATAATCGAAGTAATAAGGGAAAAGTACATAGAATAACTAAATAAACAAATGTCTATCCCTCTACGGCCAAGGCAAAAGTAGGGATTGTACATACTTCTTTTGTAAACAAAGACCTGTCTGGCTTAAAGTCATGAATTGCCAAGGTCTCAGCCGTCTTTAGAAGCCTGTAACGAAGAAAAGGCGGCCAGGGAGTCAGCATGGATTCTGTATATGATCTTAAAATTATGGTCAGGGTTGGTGTGGAGTGACAGAAGTCGATCAGGTGTTCCAGAATAGAGCTTTGCACACACTTCCTTTCTCCTTTGTAAAACCGTGCTGCTGGAATATGTTCTCGTATCCGTTTGGAGAGCGTTCTCCGACTAAGGCCAATGTACTTTGCTCCACAAGAGCAGGTGAACTGGTAGATGCACATGGAGTCGGCCAGACGGGGAGCTTATCTTTTACAGAGGTAGAGAACAATTTGCGGCTCCTGAACGTCATATGTCATTTTGCTGCAAAAAACGTCTTACTGACTGATTTAGAGAGACGATTTTTGAGCATATCTGAAGCTTGATCACCTTTGAATTCCAAGTTCATGAATAAGGTTTTCTTTGAAATTGAGTCGGTGACCAGTTTAGACTGCCTATCTTTCATGTTGCTGTCAATAAATCGGTTAGGTTAACCGTTTTCTGCGAGTGTGGCTTTCAAGAAGTCAAGTTCTGAGTCAACGCAATCAGAACTACAAATGTTCCTTATCCTTCTCCAAAATCTATACACCTTATGTATTTATTTTTATTTTACTTTTGTTTTTTTATATTTTTGATTACAGCTTGATTCCACACCGTATTTTTGGTACAAGTATGGAATTTTCAGCGTGGATATCGGTAGCCCAAAATTCGCAGGCCGACCATAGATATCAAGTGTGCGTCGGCGTGGGCTCGAACCCCGGACCATGTGCATGGCCGGCGAGAGTCCTAACCACTGTGCCACCAACGATGACATTAATTATTTTGCTACTTGGCATTTAACTATGATTATAATCACAAACATTTTAGTTTTAATTGCATTTCATACTTCTATTATTATTTTATGCATTCACACCGTTGACCTAATTCCCTCACTGGATATAATTTCTTTATAAAACCATATATATATATATACGATTGTACAGCTTGATAATAAATTTGTTGTTGGAGAGAGTCTCTTCGCTGAATATTGTGTTCTTAATACTACAATGGGAATTATTAAATCTCTTGATTTCCTCAACAAACCATCTGTTGCCTGGCCCTTGTCTTCTATCGTTACAATCATACTATACGTGTTAAGTGATTTTGTATTTATCATGATGTTGGATTGGGTAGCGGCTTTTTGTTTAACCGCTATCCAAACAACCTGCCTGGCATGGTAGGACCTCAAGAGACATAAGTCTCAGCCAGTTTAGCTTGATTAGGTCATTGCGGTGTTCAAGCCCGATCACCACGTCAAGGTAGCAGCTTTCGGTCGGGCTGTTTTGTTCTTCGTTATTACTCCATCTTTGTCTCACACCTCTGCTCACTGTCTCTATTATGCTTTTCTTGTACTTTCTTCTCTTGCTTCGCGTGCTACACGGAGTGTGGCGACTTGAACTTCCGCACATTTGTGCAAAGTTCTATGTCGAAAACAGACAGACAGACATACGTGTTAAGTCGGTAGACAAAACCGAAATACCTTACGAATAGGCTGGTAATCATTCACCGATCGAATCAACGACGCTTTTTCACTTAGGCGAATCTCATCATAATCCCTGTATGCAGGCAATTTATATACTCTTATATTTTGTTCTCTTATTTATTTTTTCAGCCATGCTCTGTGTAGTCTAATTGACAATCATTTAAGAAAATTGGCACAAAAATTTCCCAAAGTGAAATTCCTCCGTGGTGAATCCTGTTTATGCATACCGAATTATCCATCGAGTAATTTACCATCGATTCTTGTGTATAAATCTGGTGATTTAAAAGAACAATTGATTGGTCCTAATGCTGTCGGTGGGAATAGTGTTACTGTAAAAAGTGAGTTTAATAATAATTGGCTAATTTCAGAGAAGTTGGATAATTATTTGCTTCCAGAGTTTAGAGACAGTTGTTTTGTTTTGATACAAAATTCAGTAGGACTCTTCAGCTGAATACTCTTCATACAGGGATATATATACCATTAGAATTACATTAGGAGAGACAAGATTGACTAATCTTTGCGTTTTACTGTATATCTGTCCGAAAACTTTGTTGAGAGAAACTCACATTCTGTTACAAAAACGCCCCAAATACGGCAAAAAGATTATTCGTTGATAAATTCGTTGTATGGTTCTGTTTTTCTACAGTAATAATAATAATAATAATATGAAAAACTCAACATTATCTCAACAGTTTTTTTTGATGTGGTTGTGTTCTCTGAGTTGGATAGTTAATTTGCGAAGCTTTCATAGCCCCCTACTAGGCGACATCTTCAGCGCATATTTCAATTTGAATTGAAGTGAGCTTTTAGATATCTTCACGAGTTTATTTTTTACCTCTACAGAATCGATTAAAAACAGTCCAGAAGATCTCGATTCCGTTGATTATTAGTGTCTAATGCCGCATAAACTCGTAGATCTACAGGTAAAAACCACCAGGTTGTCAGAAGAAAGAGACAGGCGGTGAAGACGAAACTTCAAATATGAACGTAGTTTAAAAACTCGATAATCCAAAACAGGCTTTTCACGTACCAGGTTAAGAGCCATATTCATTGTGTACAGGCTGACGGTACTTTTCAGTTGCTCACACTAAAGTAGATGGAGTGGGGACTCTAACTCTCACACCCCATCGGCTGAAACCTTGTGCTTAAGTCAATGAGCCACACCTTTACTAAGTGGGAGGTAGAGAAGACAAAAATGGTGAAGATACACTACCACCTCCGTCAACAACAACAACAACAACAACAGGCACTAATCACTATCGATGGAAGAAATTTGAAGGCGGTCACCTCTTTCATAAATCTGGACAGCTTCTACAGACGGCACGGATGAAGATATCTAAATTAACATCAGAGAGGTACGGCAGACCTTCATTAATCTGACATCAATATGGGAATCTACTGGACTCAGGGTAGAGAAAAAGATTCTGATTTTCAACATTAGTGTCAAGTCAGCCAGTGTAACAACAGAAGACAAGGGCCAGGCAACAGATCGTTTTATTATGAAAATCAACACGTATTTATACATCTTTCAACTACATTATTATAGACAAGCGCAGTCATCTGATTGGTTGTTTAGGTAGACAAACGCAGGCTTCTGATTGGTTGTTTCGGGATACCTTGACAAATAGAGTTCTCTCTGCGAATCATATTTTCCCACGTTAACTTTGCTGTGATTGGTTGTTGACTCAGGCTTGTTCACGGCCCATATTAGTGACCTAGACCTTAACGAAGATTAGTGCCAACCAATCGGCTAGCAGCCTGCTCTCACCACACCAGTACTTTTCCATTATGGATAAGATTTTATTTTGATATATCACACAGTGTTGTACAGTTATATTATCAGTTAATACAACTGTATAATACTGTGTGATATATCAAAATAAAATCTTATCCATAATGGAATTATAATCTACCACAGTGCCCAAGTTTTATACCTATATCAATAAGCCACTACTTTTATATAGTTCAAAGATTTCGCATATGAGTTATCAGAAGCATTTCTAATAGGCTATTTACAGGAACTCCAACATATAATTTATCCAAAGAATTATACAGAAAACTAAAACACCTAACGGAATCTTGTGATCACTCCATCAACTCTGCTATCCAATTCCTAGAGAAAATCAGAGGCATCCAAATAGATGAACAAGAAATAATGATATCCTTCGACTTCACAGCAACTGGCAAAAGAAACCATGGAGCAATTACTTAGCAACGATGAACACCTTCCACAACAATCAAAAATGCAACACATAAGCTGGATGGAATGCATAAACCTGTGCCTAACAACATACTTCTTATTCAATGGTCAAATATATGAACAATTCAAAGGAACACCCATGGGATCGCCAATATCAGGTTTGATTGCAGAAGCAGTGAGGCAAAGGCTCGAAAACATAATTCTACCAAAGATCAAACCGAAGATTTGGATACGCTACGTCGACGACACATTTGTAATAATCCAAAGAAACGAGTTAGATAAAACTCACCACTTAATAAACAACGTCTTCAACGACATCAAATTCACAAGAGAGGAGGAATCAAAGAACCAAATCCCATTTTTGGACGTCTTAATCAAGCGAACAACCACAGGGGAATCAGAAACTCAAGTTTATAGAAAATCAACTCACACAGAGCAAATCCTGCATAACAAAAGCAACAATCCAGTAACACACGAAATGAATTGCATACAAACACGATTCAAGAGTGCAAGGACTCATCGCATCACTCCCACCTTGAGGAAAATTGAAGAAAAATATCTCATGGACGTCTTCCAAAAGAAAGGATATCCACGGAATTTCATCAAAAGACATATATCCCCCAAGCCAACCTATCAAACCAAAAGCCCCCAAGGAAAGCATAAAGAAAATCGCCTTACCATATATAAAGGATATCTCAGAAATCACTACAAGACTCTTCAAACCTTTAGGGATTGACGTCGTACACAAACCAACAAAGTCACTTCATTCAGCTAGCCCTATGCCAACCAAAAGAATCAACAGCGAAAGAAGATAAAACCAACATCATTTACAAAATAAATTGTAACAACTGCGAAAAACACTACATTGGTCAAAGTGGACGTCCCCTTCGTCTTCGTATCCACGGAGATAAGCTAGCCGTCAAAAGACATGATATCCACTCCCTCATATTACTCGCTGCATGCAGACAACCACGGACATCAATTCGACTGGGACAATGTTCAAATATTCGACAGAAGAAACACCAAGAAACGCAGATAATTTTTAGAAGCCTGGTATTCCAGTGAATCATCAATCAATAGACACATAGAGATAGACAAAATTTACCAATGGATAAAACGAAAGTCTCACACACAGAGGGTCAAAGTTCAAGTCAAAGAAACAATCGTTTCCAATACAAGTAGCCTAGAGGGTGTGAAATCATGTTCAAGACCACCCACCAGGATAGATGACTGATAGTGAACTCGTGGAGAAATCTAAAAGCTCACTTCAAATTGAAGTTGCCTAGTAGGGCGATGAAAGCTTTGCAAATTAACTATCCACCTCAGAGAACACCACCAAATCCAAATCATCCCCCTGAGCTAAAAATCTTCTCTATCATATCTACCTCAACAGTGCTGTTTGATTTATATTTTTATTATAGCTTGATTACACATGGTATTTTTGGCCCAAGTATGGAATTTTTAGCATGTGATAGCGGTAGCCTAAATTTAACAAACCGATCATTGATATCTGGTGCGTGTCGGTAGGAGATCAAACCCCTGACCATGTGGATGGTCGACTAGTGTTCTAACCGCTGTGCCACCGATGCACAGGTGTACAGGCAAGAGAATGTTCTAGGTACACCATAAATACTTGGAATTAAGTAGAATATTCCCAACAAGGTTGGGATCAACAGCTCTGTCCACAGGAATCACAAACCGACGTCTTGACGCAGACAATCGAAGGTCAGAATGACCTTCACTCACTTAAATAAAGTCGCAGTCGTAAAATAACACATTATCAATATCACCATCATACAACTACAAAGAGAAACATTGAAATTAGAGATTCAACAGGGATAAATACAAATAATAAGGATCAAGCCAAGCTGTGATATGCAAGTTTCAGCACAATGATATGTAGTCTAATAGAAGGATGCATAACAATTACGAAGTTAGTTGGAGGATTTCATCATGAGCTGTCATCAGTTAGAGGACCATTGGAAAACCTGCAGGGAGTATAAGACAGTCAGGTGTTTCGTCCTGCTTTGGAACTCTTCATCAGTACACACTCACCACAGGCTTTCGAACCCAGGAACTTCTGATTGCTAGGCGAGTGAGCTTGTAGAACATTAGGCCACTGGGACCTGATCCAATGGCCAGCCCATGAATTCCAACCTCTGCCAATTCATGACATAGCGCGACCACCTCGCAATGTCTTCTTCGATGAGTTACTGCCTAACCCTCGACCTGCTGTATCCTACTGGTCACGGATTCGAACCCCGATGACTGCGTACTGATGAAGAGTCGTGAACTGGAACGAAACACCTGGCTGTCTAATACTCACTGCAGATTTTCCAATGGTTCTCTAACTGATGTCAGCTCATGATGACCGTGGACTAATATCAGTTAGAGAATCATTGGAAACCACCACAGAGTACTGCACAGCTGTTTCGTCCTAGTTTGGGTCTCTTCATCAGTACACGCCCTTGGGGCTAGAACTCAGGGCTTTCTAGTTGCAAATCAACTCCGAAGACTATTCCGACACTTTGGACCCGTGACCCATGAATTCTAACTATTGTCAATTCCGTGGGATATAGCGCTACTCTCAACCGATGCTCTTATTGGTGACGAACCACTTCAACTTGACATGATAGATCCCTCTGATCATTACTTCAAAGTATATTTTCAAAACATCCATCTATTAGGGCGTCAAGATAAATAGTGGTATTTGTTTTCCATAGTTGGTCTGTAAGGGTTAGTTTTGTTTTTACGGGTTGATCACGGATTGATATCAGCTAGAGAACCATTGAAAACCAGTACGGGAGTACTGGACAGCTTTTTCATCCTAGTTTGGGAATCATCGGCAGTACGCGCCCAATGCACTGTGGTTCGAACCCAGGACCTTTCGGTTACAGGGCAAGCTTGTATTTGTGTGACAAACGTGTTAGGCTGAAATCAGTTGCAAAGATATTGTGAAATGGGAGACAATGGTGGTGATTATTCATAATATATTTGCAAAGTGTGGGGTAGGAGGGAACTGACAAGTTAGCTCATGTCAATTGGTGACTAGCAGTGGTATCTAGGATGTGTATTTCGTCTTATTTGGAACTCATCAACTGGATGTACCTGTCTTCCCCAGTGATTGGTGGTGTTCACACCGAGGCTCGCACCCAGTGTCCAGAGTTTCAAATGCCAATCCGCTATCTACTAGACCCCTTGGGTTACGAGAGCCACATTTTTGTCCAAGACATCTTAATAATTATTTAATTCAATTTAGATTTTCGCGTCGATTGATTGCACCGAAGTGCATCGTCTCAGGTTGACATGTCGGCTTCTTGTACAGTTGTTTCGTGGTTATAAAAGGTGACAGGTGAGTCAGTAGGTCGTACAAAGTAGTATCTATAAAA